AGCGTATAACACTGCAACGCGTTTTTTTTTTTACGAAAAATAATTAGTTCTTTAACATATACAATTATGCTCTTTACACAACGTGTTTTGTCAAGTGATCGACAAGAAGGAATGCTAAGCGATTTTTTCTTCGAATCAGACCTCTTGTCACGTGAGATATCTCGTCCATAACATCGAATGGACGATATTGAGTCGAAGAATAATTCGAGGAACAATTCATACCAATGATATTGTTACAATGATATCGCGCGATATCTCGACGCGTAGTTGTGGAACAGTTAAACTACGTGAATGATACAAAAGTTCGCACATCGGAGCGGAATGACATGTTAATAGATATGAGTTTCTGTGACCGCTTATATGTCAAAAGATAATTGTCGACTCAATTTGAAGATTTACTGTGATTTATGCGTCATCAGAAGCTATCGTTTGGTGTCAAATTCAGTTCTAAAATCGAAGTAAAAACAAAGGATCACTTCATTATTCGCTGTGATTGACGTCTTATCGCTAAACTGCGCATACTTGTGCAAATTTTTATAAAGATAAATTTAATAAATAGGACTTAGTCAAAAGACTGACGTATTAAATATTGTGACATCTACTATATTTACTTTATTTACAATATTACTACATTACATTACAGATATTTTCTACATTTGCCTATATTATGCGCTACATCTTATCTTTAAATGCATAAAAATCCGCAGTTTATTCATCAGAGGTTTAAATTTACAAGTTACAAAATTCTCGGGCACTTTATCGATCCAGTCAATTTTCACGAAATTTAGTATTTTTACTTTGATCAGTAATGCAATGGTCTGAACGCGTATGACTAAACTTTCAGGTTACCAGAGAAGGGGAACTGTTACCATTCTTCCAAACAGAACTGAAAGTGGGCAGTGATGGCGAGGAGGACAAGATATTATTTATCTGGCCAACGATGATCGTTCACAAGATCGACGAACAGTCACCCCTTTATCACATATCAGCGAGCGATATGCTTAGGGAACGGTTCGAGATCGTGGTGATATTGGAAGGTAACTTCATACACAGGATGTTCCCAGATAAACGTCGAAAGCATAAAATGAGGCTCCGTTTCTGGAAAAAATGGAATTCTCGTGTTTTGAGAAAATAGTACCATACATAATTAATTAGACATTTCTAAATTAAATATGAAATGCGATTCAAATGAATCTCTTTAATTTAATCGTAACATACAGGCTGTTTGGAGATATGAAAAAATTTTAATAATGATTATTTGGTACAGATACTGCCTAATTGCAGTAATGATTTCTCCATCGGTTTCATTTCATTTTAGAAATATTTCGAGATCATCTCTACTTTTTAAATAGAATGATTTTTTTTTTTCATTAATTAATCGATGCAGATCGACAAGTACTAACTATGTATATCAAAAAATTATTAGTTCAAAAGATATTTTAACTTTAATTCTAAAATTGATCGTATGAATAATGGGAAAAGACAAGTATTCTTGTGTTTATAACTGTCCTATGTTACATATATAAAATTATAAAAATAATTACTGAAAATTTTGCAGAGTGACTTTTAGGTCTGTTCTTTATTGTTGAAGTATATGCTTTCAATCACACTGAAAAAATTTATATATATTTTATGAAACATTTGCTGTTTGTTAATAATAAATATAAGACTTGAAAATACAGAGAAAGATACAGTAGAAACATATTCATCAATCGCAACTGTCGAAACATAACATTAAATGTATCAAGATTTAATTGTTCAATTATTTATGCATGGTATTTAACTAATTTTGACTGAAGACAAATAGATAATCTATAAAAGACATATAATTCATAACTCGTCGAACACTTGGTTATTTTAAATAGAATAATTATTAATACAATATTTATTATAGTTCTCTCCCATGATTTTGTTATTTAATTTTATTATATTGTATTTATACAGTTTACAACAATATCTTGATGAAAAATTAATAATACGTGTACGTACGTAGTTTAAATAAATTGTTATCTATTGACGCGATTCAAAATTTGATATCTTCGACATAAAATAGTTTATATATGGAGAAGATCACGTGAAAAGATTAGTAACTATAAAACATAGGATTTATTTATAGTGGAAATTGGAGAAATATAAAAAAAAAGATATGCAATCACACGATATTGTGTAACGAAAGATTAATAGATTAATAATTAATAAATTTGCACAAATTATTTAGGTTTTAAAGTATAAACTATTTAGGTTTAGAGAACAATAATAATATAAGATTATAGCATGGCTTTCGTAATCATTTTCATTTTTATAAGTATCCGATGATTTTATTACTATAAATATCATAATAATAAGTATATAATAGTAATTAAATTAAATATATAATAAAATAATTCGAAAATTTGAAACTTTCTTTTTTGAGAAAATCGAATTTAAAGATTTGTCAAATACATTAATCTTTAATTGATAAAATCCCAGTTTCTTGAAAGAAAATCTTCTATTATTATAATTTATTCTCCCATGTAAAATCATCTTGCACTATTAATTACGAGACACACTTAATGACTCACATTTAAAGAAATCAAACAAACTATAATTTCACATCAATTTCAGGTGTTATCGAATCAACTGGCATGACAACTCAAGCCAGAAGCTCTTATCTGCCGTCTGAAATTTTATGGGGGCACAGATTCGAGCACATAATCACATTCAAAAAGGAGACTGGAGAATATGAAGTAAACTATACGTTGTTCAACAATACCTACGAAGTTGATACACCATTATGTTCAGCGGCTGATCTGGATAAAATCAGAGCGATGCAACGGGCGAAAGGAGGTACGAGCGAGCTCAGAGAAAGTTTTAACAAGCGTAAATTTCGCAGGTTCATTAGACAATTCATTAAAAGATTAAAACTCTTCAAAGCGTCGCTCCTAATAATTAGACTGCAGATTTTTATGTACGTTTGCGAAAATTTATTTATTTATTCAAATCGAGTTCGAATTCTAAATCTTATTAATTAATTAATTAATTAATTAATTGCTTGATTTAGAAATTCATTTTTACAAGAATTAAAAACAATATAATTGAAACTGCTTTGCCTTTGATAACTTTTAATTTTTTCTTTCTTATTAAGAAACGAGCAGATTAATAGATTTAAAATATAAAAATGCATACAAAATATCCAAAGTGTATTCATTATAATTAGAATGTAGATGTTATGTATTTTTATATTTTTACGAGGATAATATTAAAAAATGGAGATAGAAAATTAATTTACTTATTATTTACTCATATAAGAAGAATGTATTATTATGCACATTTTCTTATATTATTTGTATTTTTCCAAATTTCTTTTCATAAATGCATAAAAATTCGCTATCTAATTATAATAATAGGTGAAACAAATTTATGCTCAGATTTTATTTCTTTAATCGTGTGTCGACGGTGAAATGTAATTGACCCCTGTTAACATGAATCAAGTTTATTGAATCTACTCGCGATAGAGACGCATTTCGCGATGTAAACTATTTTTCACATGTACGTTGTGTCTTTTGTTACCGGCCAAATATCTGGCACTTCACTTTCCGACGAGTGCCAATTGTTCAAACCTTGAACCAAGAAAAGATCCTAATTGTAATCTCGCTATACGTTGGACTGTTAATCATCGATTAATTAATTAATTGCTAAATAATAAATTGTTTCGACAGAAAGCATCTTACAATTTAAATCGAAAATGCCAACCACATCTAAAAGTGATAAAATTAGCAATTTCTAATAATTTATCGTAAGAATTTTGCAGATCTGTAATCTTTTGGACATTTAAATGATCTTTTGCTAAAACTTGGATTAAAAATTTATTTATTTCGATTATTAAGATGACCAAAAGTGGCTAAAATTTTCAATTTATTTTTTAATAAATTTGTAGGCCTAATTCCTGAAACAAAGGAATTTAAACAATTTTTCGCGGAATGTGCGTTCTTAACAATTTCAAATCTCACTTATGTTTATATAAAATTCTTTTGTTAATTTTATTATGACATTATATTACTGAAAATAATATACTAAAAATAATGTATGTAATTTTCTGTTTCTATGGATCTTTAAAGTCTTTTAAATTCTTCATTCTTCAGAAAAAAGTCCAGTGAATCTACATTTATGATCAATATTTGTTTCCTTCTTATATCTACTTATTTTAATTTCTTTAACGTAAGTTTTCTATTTTAATCGTCATTATATAGTTCTAATAATAAATCTTTTTTTATAACTCTCTACATGAATATATTTGGAAGAAAAGGATATTTAAGTTTAACTTGCTCTGTATAAAAGGCTTGTCAAACAAAATGATTCATTATGCAGATTCTAATATTAAGTACGTTTGCATTGATAATTAAAAGTTTTATGATAATTAATCACTTGACTAAAAAAATATAGACACATATATTTATCAATTAACTTCAATGAAATTTGAGAAACTTTCTGTACAAAACGCTCGTTAAATAGAATTATTCATTATATAAATTGCATTGCGTTTTTGATATTAAGTACATTTGCATTGATCATTAAAAGTTTTATGATAATTAATCATTTGACTAGAAAATCATTTATCAATTTCAGACTTCAATGAAACTTGATTCATTCTCATAAAACCAGCAATTCTTACTATACTCTGGTGAATAGAGAGAAAAGTAGTCAAAGTCTAATTAAAATAATATAAGTCATTATCAAAGAAATGATCAAAATTTACTTTTAATGAAAATAATCCAAATTTAACATTTGATCTTACATTGCACTTTAGGTTTAAATATTATGGGCATTTTTCTAATCCTGGCACTAATCCTGACATATACTTCTTTGTACATATATATACGTCTATCACAGACGTATGAAATACAATTTTTTCTCGAATTAATTTTGAATCTCCTTTATTTTAGAACGAATGAGCAGCAGTGGATTTACTCATTACCGCGACGCATCGAGCAGTTCTTTGACTACCGGATCCGGTTCCAGTCTAGCGTCGTCCACAGGCGGATTGCACATGAACGTGCCAATGACGCCACTCACTCCGATTCCAGTTATGATCACCGGCCCTGACGGTTCTCTTAGACGAGAGAGCATGCAAAGCATGCAAACCGACGTGAAACAGCCGATATTTTACACGCAAAACGAGGTACCAAACACGTAAAAGTTCTGGCCATTGAATTAATCCGTTGCAAGAAAGAACATTCACAGATTATCCATAGGAGAGTTCTGTTGTTCATATAATTTTTTTACCCTATTCTGGCTACCAAAAAACTTCCTTCAGTTACTTTTTGCTGTATTATACAATCAGCCTCCAAGTTAAATATTTAAAGGATTTTTCAACAAGAATCGAAATTTACTTCGAAGACATTCACAAGTAATATTACGCTAGGATTAAAATGACTTAGGATTTAAATGACTTCTTTTATGGTGTAAATTACTTATGAAGGATTAAGACTGCTCACAATTTTCAATATCTTGTAAGTTTTCAGTAAAATTCAAACGAATCGAATATGTGGATTAACAGCTATATTTCTTTCCTTTGCTTTCATTACTGCATGTACTCTTTTTAATATACTTCTTTATCAGTTCTGCTTTCTTTTTTCAATTTCCTTTTCTTTTTACAATAACAAATGAAGCATTTTTTCTACATACTGTCATGTACATAAATATTCGCTCAGTATTCAACCGTTTGCCAATAATAATTCTCAATGTATGATAATATATAAAAAATTAACCTTTGACTGGTATCATTGATTTATCAATTACTGGAGACAACAACAATTCGAATCAGTCGATTTTTTAACTTATTTTATTTTATTTTATTCGTTAGTCTTTACTAGTCTTTATGGAGAGTATAAAACACGAAATAAAATTAAATATCGTAAATCTATCGGTGTAATTTAAATTATTATAGTCATATAATCTAAATATTATAGACCATATAATTTAATAATTCTACTTGACGAATCGACTCATGATATATTTTTTTACTCAAAAAAACCTCGCAAACATATTAACAGAGTTTGACGATTGAGATCTGGAAAAACCTGTATATACGTAAGAGATAATATTTGTGTAATAAATAATTAAAAAAGATCGTTTTTTTTAAGAATTTGCTGCCACAATTTATTATAACAAGTTACAACTAGCAGAATTTAAATTCTTATGTGTGTCATATAGCATAAATTATGTGATTTTGACCTAGTATGTGCTTCCTAGTATTATAATTTTTTTTCAGCGACTATTATCTCTTTTTACAGTAAATCATATGATCATGTACAATAGATGATTTACTAGTAAAGCAGATATTAAAGCGGATATTGCTGAATTTTTTATTTCTAAAGATAGAATGTTTTATAAAAGTAGAATTTGCGAGCTTGTATACAGAGTTTAAATGAAACTTCTACAATTAAAAGATATTTATTCAATTTTTAACTTTTATAACTCTGTTTAAGTTAACTCTGTACATCAACACTTTAATTCTTTTATAAGACTTTTATAAGTTATTTTATATATTTGGTTAATTAATAAAAGTTCTAGAGAATCGTATACTTTCTATATTAGATATTTAAGGGTAAAAAAATTAAGAATTTTTTTAATTAGCATAATTTCAGGAATCAAATACAGAGTAAATAATTTTTTTTCATAACAAAAAAATTTTTCCAAATTTTCAGGAAATCTACTTGCTACAACATTAACTTTTTCTGAGCAGAATAAAGGTTTCTGTTTAACAAAAACCTTTTTCTACTTTCAAAAAAATAAAAGTTTCTTATTTACACAAATATGAACTAGAAGTTTCAATTAATTAGAACATTCAACTATCAATACATTGCATTGTATTAGTAACAATTTTTTCGGAACAAAAGAATTAAAAAATAAATTAAAAATTTTTAACAGTTTCATTCAACTTCTGCTTGTGTGTATTTGGAAAATCGTTGTGGATTGTGAAAGTATTTACTTTAATAAATAAAAATTTTTATAAAAGTTTTTCTCTCTTCTCACTCAATTCTTATTCTGAAAAACCGTACGAACTTTTTTGATTATCTTAAAATACTTTAATAATTCAATTTCTTTCAAATCTATTAATTTTACTAAAAACATATAAAATTTTGAAAATTTTTAGTGATCTTACTTACCTTAATACAATGGATTTTTATTAGATTGGTGCACATAATACCTTTGTTTCTCTAACTTTCAAGTTCTGTAGACATTGAAATTTACACGATTAGATCGCTAATATTTATTACATTAGGTACAGTTGCGGACAAATGTTTAGGACGATTATATATTTTTTTGATAGATTATCACACTATATTATGAATAGTACATAGCAATGGTACATAACTTACATTCATATTATTACACTCATATTTTATTTGAAAAGATTCACTGAAAAAGTTTGAAATCAAATGATGTTATAAAAATAAATTTAAAAAAATAAATGATGTTATAAAAATTAAAATCAAATGATGTTATAAAAATAAATTTATTTAGAGGAAGAGAAAACTGAGACAACGAGATATAAAATAATAATCGAAAATTTTGATTAGCATGATAGACTTTGAAATATTTAGGAATGCATAAATTTATGTTGCACTGCTCGCATCCTTTTAACATCAATGACGTCAGTATGGCAATTTCCGCAGTCAAAGTATAATATTAAATAATATTAAATATAAATTATGTAAATAATAATGACGTCTACAAAAATTTATGACTTATTTTTTCTTAAAAAATTAAAAATTAAAAATTAAAAAAGATGTACATATTACAAACTAATTAGTAAAAAATTGTTAAGAAAAGAAATCATCAATAGACTATTTTTTAACAAATTTTTGTCGTTAGAATCTCTTCTGAGAACTTTCTTAAATTCATGATTTTTAATGATCATATTGAATTGATTTTTAAATTTTCATGAACGCTATTAACGAAGTGTGACATAGATAGAAAATTGTTCCTTCCATATAAAATTATAATTAATATTTTTATTTAAATATATTATATATTTATATTATATATTATTACAAAAATAATACATATTTATATTATATATTATTTTTGCACAATCTCTGCATTGTGTGGATTTTTTCAGCTTCAAATTTTCCATAAATGGAATCAAATTATTGGTTGGGTTATTCCAAACATTATACATAATACATATGTGATTTTTGGAGGGGAGAAGAATAAAGTAAACATTATTTCAAATAAATTGTGCGATAATGCAATTCTTTTAATATAAGTAGATTGTAGATTTTTATGCATTTATGAGAAATTCCAAAAATGCCAATATATTACATACTGTATAAAATATTCAAAGCGTTATAATTTCATAATCCGGTTATAATTTTGAATAAGACAAATATTTACATATGTTATGCACAAAAATTCCTTAATCTAAATATAGTATACTAAACTTAACTAAATTTAATTAGATGACATAGATAAAGGATGACATAGCAAAGATAGAAAAAGGAGACAAGCGAGAAGAAAAAACTTTTATTGTAATATGATTTGAGATTTTGCAATGTAAGATGATGCATGGTATAAATTTTACAAAAAGTATAAATTTAAAATCCTGTTAACATTAAAAGAGAAATCTGTATTATAGATGATTTAGACATAGCGTAGGAAAACAATTTAATTACATTTCGAAAACAATTTAATGATTTTTAACTTAAGGAATTATTATTTGTTATGCATTATAATTTACTAAAAATATAATATTTCAAACTTTATCCGTTAGTACCGAAGTCAATTGTTTTTATACAAGATGAATCATCTCAAATATCTCAGATATAAAATTATTTTTGAAGATATGAATAAGTTTTGTTTATGAAAATTATTTAATAATGATTTTTTTCTTTTTGGGGGAGAAGTTTCGATTTTAAAATCAGTTTCACTTTTTTCAATGAAATCATGTATTTTTTGATCTATTGATTAATGTAGTTCGACGTTCTCTATAAAAAAGAATTAACGAAAAATGAATATCAAAAAATGATTAATTTAATAGTTTATATTTTTATTTTATACTTTAATTTTAACTTTACAAATTAATTTATAAATTAACTTTACACGTTAACTTTAATTTTATAGAACCTATATTTGAAAGATAAGGATAATATGAACATAAGAATACCGCTCTTAGCTATCCTTGTCTATCTTAAACTAATAAATTAATAGTTTTTAATAATAAACTAATACGTTTTCGACATAGATATAGATTAATATAGGAAAATATCGAACAGTATTGATTAATGAATCAAAAAATATATAATCACATTTTAAGAAAATAGAAGTGACTCTGAAATCTCCAAAGTGAAACCTACAATAAAAGTCATTGTTATTGTATTATGGATTTTTTTGTACTGAATAATTTAAAAGCTCGAAATATTTTCATTCTTTGTACAGTTTCTGGACAATGATCCACACGCTTTAAATCATCATTCTCAAGAGGAAGAAGATTACGATCGCGTGCTAGAAGACATAAACGCGTCCCTAAGAAAGAGTCGAGGATACAACAAAGAAGACAGGAAAATATACAGAGAACCGTCCAAGTGTACCTTAGATTCTAGAAAAAGCGAGTCCAGAGACATAATCAGAAGATCCGGTTCTAGAACAGCGATTGATCAAATTCCAGTCATCAACTCTCCGCCAAGATCACCCTCGCGACAGCATTTAGATCCCAGGTACCCTAAATTTATCTATTTGTATCGTAGTTCAAAAAAAAAAAATTTAAAGTTTCCATTTAATTACAGAAACGATGCTAATCTGTGTTTGATCTATTCAGACATAGCAAGTTCGCAGAACCCATGGAAACGTATCGAGAGCCTCTGCCTCATCCGCTTTCGTCTTCGAGAAGATCCAGCCTAGGAGAGAATCAGAAGGGCTTGCAGAAAAAGACCAGCTTCGTTTTAGGCGACGAAGAACACCACGTGTTAAATATGGAGCCTACGAAGGTGTCGCCAGTTCAAGAGCCATTAGATGTTGATTCATCCAAGGCGAACCATCATCCTAAGAACACTCTTAGTCTTCCTCAGGAACAAGTGTAGGTAAGCAAATGTGGATCATCTTACTTAATTCAAATATTAATACGTTTATATATTTATAATATTACATATAATATTATATTACAATATTAATCACATATAATATGTAATATTACGTTACATATGATATAATATTACATAATGTGTAATATCATAGGTAATTTTATAAGTAATATTGTATGTAATTTTGTAAATATGTACATTGTATATATATTTATTTGTTTGTATATTTGGTATTTGTATATATGTGTATGGTATATGATATTTGTAAATTTTATAATTTATTATATTAATAATTTATATATAATAATTATTATTTATATTATATTTATAAATTTATAACATTATAAATATATATTTATATTATTTATATTATATAATATATGTAATATATTCAAACGTGGTATATTCCAGTTGATTATTAGCCACTTATGTCTTTATTATTTTCAATGTTATGAAAATTGTTTTTAGTATATAATTCAAAACATTTACAAAGGGAAATATTATGGAAGAAAAAGTTTTCTGTTGACTAATTGTTTTTAATCTTTTTTTTCGTCACTCTTCTAATGACGAAGAAGAAAGATCATCGTCATTTTTCTTACCTAGGTAGCGTGTAGTTTCTCTTTTCGTATTTTTTAGAAGTAGAAACAATACAAATATGCTTGATTGTCATGACCTTCACACATGATTCTGATCGCACATTGAGATAAATAAATTAGGCTCTATTTTATTAACATTAAATGGAAGATACGTGAAATTTTTGTCGAGTGATCGGAAAGAATTGTTGAGAAATGAATTAATAAATAACGTATATATACAAATACACGTGATGTCAACACATGTGTGTCATTGTCGAATTTGCAGCTTGTCAAATGTTAAAATAGAAAATTCCTAAATCGTTGAACTAGACATAATTTTTCTTTTGAGGAAACTAGAGGGAGAAGTTTACCAACAGCGACCTGCTACTTCTGAAGATATTTTTTGTCATTCTAAAAAATAATAGTAAAAATATCATAGTCAGTAATTATTCGGTTTAGAAAGCGTATTGCCAAGGAACATTACTTCAAACATTTAATATAAACAATAATCTTGACGTTGTCTTATTTTTTGATGATCATGATCACGTCTTATTTTTTAACGATTAAGATCATGATTCAGGCATATTCAAATGTACTTTTTTGCTTGTTACAGAGTGTATACGCTTCCTAAATGTAAAATGATGATCATTCTGAAAAGAAAATAAATCAAAAAAAATTCTTCCTTCCATGATATTCCTTTTTGAAAATCGTCTGATTTTTGGGGGAAAAATTTTTAATATTACTATAATTTGCAAACATTTATAAATTATATTATCGTAAAAACTAGGTGGTACAATTAAAAATAAAGTTTCAGATTTTCAGAAATCAATATTGGTACATCAAGTATATACCAAGAAGCTCCAAAGAGTTAAATTGTACGAAAAACATTTTTCATAATAAAAATAAATCAGATATTTAATTTCCGCTTTTGTATGTAGATTAATCTCAGTTTGACTAATTATTTTTGACGTTGGGCTTTATGAATTCAAATTATAGTATCCTATAAATTGAAATCTATGATGGTTTTAGCTCAACTAATAATTTTAGCCATCGATTTTCACGAATTCAAACTATAAATTAAAATGTTCATAACTTACAGAAAACTATATCAGATTCTAAATTGATGATCTATAATTTATACTTTGAATATTATTATTGACCGCAAAGATTAAAAATTAATGACTTTTGTATGTAGATTAATTTTAGTTTGACTAATTATTTTTGACGTTGGGCTTTATTCATTAATCTTTTGAGTCTATACTAAAATGTGCCTACAGATAATTTTTTAATCAATAATAAAATAATTGGTTCACTTGTTAGAAGTTCAAAGAGGGTAACATGTTGAATAAATATATCAAAAAATATATGTTTAAAGATAAATGCATTCTTAATTTGTTATATGTTCCTTACACAGTATTAAACTTAAACATTTTTGGTAATTTTAAGTATTCAAAGAGTTAATTTTACGAATAAAATTCTTTTACAGATGTAATTTCCGTACCCTATACACTTTTAATACACTGAAATACAAAAGTAACCGTTTTCTTGAAAATTTTAGACTAGAATACTCCTTTAAACGATAGAATTGCATTAAATCAATCGACGATCCCCTCGTTCATTTACTATTCCATCCACATATATACCATTTGCGTCAGCAGGCTCAGAGGGAAGCGAAAAGAGCAGAAAATCTCTGCCATCTAATTGACTGGATTTCCGTTTCGTTATCGATGAACCACGAGACCTGAAATGAGCTAGAAGCTTTAAATTTCGCTAAATTGCCTTAGAGGAAGATCAATTACTTGCTGGGCGATTTGTAACGATCGTGCCCTCTTAAAACAACTTGACTTCACCGTACACTGAGCTTCTAAATTGTCCTAAATGAAACACAAAGACGTCATGCCGCGTAGTTTTCATACATATGTGCTGTTAGCTTTAAGTTCAACTAACTAAGAGCCATTATACGATATATACTGTCGACCAATCGACGAGAGACCAAAAATCCGGCGACCATATTCGGCGACTAAAAGCGTTGACGAGTTTGACGACCAAACTCGGCGATCGAAGCTCATTATAGCTTTTTAATACATCTAATCATTTCTGTCAGAAAATTGCCTATCGTATGAACAATTTCATTTGATTCAATACATTTCATTTATCACAGCGACCAACGATCGTTTACGAGTCGCTCACGTTTTTATGATCGTTGGTGATTCGTAAGATTCACGACTGGGTAAAATACTATTTGAAATAATAAATATAAATATATATAGTATATTGTAAATATATTATTTGAAATAGTAAATAATAAATATATATAGTATATTGCAAGTATACTGCATATTAAATATATTGTAAGTGTGTAAGTCCACAACTGAATAAAATATCATTTGAAATATATATAGTATATAATATAGTATAATATATGTAGTATATTTTAAACACGTATAACTTGGAAAATAAAATATTTTATTTGAAGACGGAATGAGGTTTCAAAATAGTATTTGAAAATAATATTTTATTGAAGAGTATCGAAAATATTTGGATTTTATTTTGAAATAAAATTATTATTATAAATAAAATTATTTATTTACTTCAATTTATTTTCTTTGTCCTTTTTTTTCTTCTCTTTGTTGAAAATAATGATTCACATTTGAGCATAAATAGTTTCCTAATCTCCAGTTATTATACTGTGTATTGAAAATCGATAGAATTGGCCGGATGATTTTTCTATGTGCAAAAATAAAGAATGAACGAAAAAATACAATAATATAATATATACTTATTAAAATAAGAAATATTAGATCAGAGTTTTAAATCAACGCAAAAAAAAAACATTTTTTATCATCATATTTATAATTTGTTCTTACCTTAATTTCTTTCAATACCCCGATGATGGAAATTCTAAGATTTACATGAAAGAATCGAAAAATCTATATTACTTATGCGACGACCCAATGCTTTAAACAAAATTAAAGTATTTTAATTTATCCCAGATTATTAAAACAAAATATTTCATTTTATCTTTTAAGTTACTGAAGTGAAAATATTTTATTTTCAGATTATTAAAATGAAAATATTATTTACTTGCTGACATCTTAAATCCTATTTAAAATACTATTTTATTTAAGCCCAACAGAAAGATTCTAGATATTAAATAGCATTTGAAATATTTATTTTGCAAAATATTATTTAGCTCTGATAAGATCTATATATTCTTTTAAATTTGGTGGTCGACGATATAATTAACTAGCATTCTGCATCAACAGCAAGCTTAAGAAAATATATGGAATCTTATTTACACATTTTATTATTGACTGGTGAATCGCCAACAACTATGAAAACACAAATAACTGAGTGACTGTCGGTTGCCATAACAAATAAAATGTATTGAATCAAATGTAAGTGTTTACATGATAGGCAACTTCTGACAGACATACTAAAAAGTCATAATGAGCTTTGATTGCCGAGTTTGATAGTCATTAAAGTTTGATTGCCAAGCTTGATCACAGAATTTTTGGACTTCCGGTGATTGCTTGACAATATGTTCTAATAATTAAAGCATTGCTGCCTTCGTTTTCTCTATTTTTTCTCACTACTTTTCATCTTTGTATTTTCTTGTTTCTTGACTTTTGTTTTGTACTTTGACGATCCTCAGGAAAGTGGATTAACCAATTAATGACTAACGCAACATTTCGTTTGCAATTCTTTTCGTTTATTTTATATTGTTAAATTTTGTTTTTTTAAATATTGCAACTGTGGAAGGAAAGAAGTTCTAGGAATTCATTTAATATTTTTTTAGCATTATGTCTTCTATCTAGAATTTATAATATTCACAAATTTAATAAAACTGAAGTATTTATAGTACAATAAATTGTAATATTGCTTAAGGATTAATGTTGAATTATTGATTAATTAAATTATAAGAATGGCTCGAAGATGAGTAACAAATCTTCTATGTCCTTTACATCATTTTCAACCAAATCTGAAATTAGAAATCTCAGAACTACGTTTATCTAAACAAATTCATGGCCATCATAAGATGTTGCCCTTAAAATAAAGTAAATTTTATTTACATTTTTTTTTATAATATTTAATTTAAAAAATAATTGCGTACTCACTTCTTATGAGACACTCTATATAACCACTGCTTCATTTTAATTTTAAAAATATGTGTAGAAACACTATTCCATTAAAGGTTGATATTTTTATTACATTATTACATTTCAATAGTTACGATTTACGAATGTTTTTTTACTGTTAATGTTTTGCATTTTCAAGTTTTATATTCCTGATAAATAGCTGATACTTTATAAAGTAAATTTTTTCATTGTGGTTAGAAACACATATTTCAATTGTTTTAAAATTTTAACAATAAATAGACAGTACTACATAAATCACTTTACAAAATCTTCTATAAATATT